GTTGTACACCCATGTAATCCGATGAATGAATGAATCATTCTATATTTTCAATATGTATTTATTACATAGTTGTCATTATTATTATTATTATTATTATTATTTGGTTTTTTGCTTTTTCCGGCAAAAAATTAATTTTTTAATTCATTTCAAGGTTAAAAGGTCAATTCCGGCCTTAGCCCAGTTAACAAACAGAAAAACCATCCATCAATATGAAAATTGTTTTTTTTTTAAAAGAACCAGAGAAATTAGATGTACAACACTACACCACATCATTACAACGATAAAGACCAAAAAAAAGGATGATTTATTTTCATGCTTTCCAAATTTGTTTGTTTGTATGATTTTAGTTTTTTCAATTAATAATGATAATTTAAATGATAATCTTGGAAATATTGTTCTTCATGTTCTTATAAGTTTTGATAGTGTGTTTGTGTGTGTGTGTGTCTATTACAATGTGTGTGTGTATGTTTCAAAGTTTATTTGGTAGACAATTGTGTTTATTGAACGAATCATTTGATTGGTCCACTGATAGACACCTCTGTCTCTCTCTCTCTCTCTCTCTTTGTAAACTAACCTATCATTTGACATTCCATCAAGTTTTGAAAATGAAGCAATGACCTTGTAGGTAGGTTATATATAAATGTATATACAGACAGATTAATTAAAGACAGGCATCATCAATTTTTATTCGACTTGTGGTAGGTCAAATTGTATTTCTATCATAAAATAATGTTTTATGCTTAACATTAATTTTTAATAGTTCAACTGTACAAATTCATTTAGCCATAATAAACATATATATATATATATATAATGCGCATACACATACAGACTCATACATGAATGCATACATTGTGATACCATCGGATAAATTCATTAACTCCATGTGTGTGTGTGTGAATAGAGTTTTGCAAAAAAAAACCGAAATAAAGAAAATAATCTATTATTAGTATTCCTGTTTTCTTTATCACCTCGTGTCTATGAATAATTTAATTGGTTGTTAGATCAGCTCATCATTTAATTTGTCAATTTGAAGGGTTTTTTTTTCAACTTCTCTATCCATACAATACTACCATACATACGTAAGTACACACAGAGACATACATTGAGACGAACAAATTACACATATATACATGTCTTGTCATTAATAATATCATATAATTAATTTTATTCTTTCAATTGTCATCAGAATATTGCAGACAAAACACCAATTTTAACAAATAAAACAACGCGTACTCTTCACGCTCTCGCTCTCGCTCTCACACGCACACACACATACATATTGTGTAAATATTAAAGTCAGTCAGTGAAAAAAATTTATCTCTCATTCTGTATTGAAATTGCTAGTTTCTTCTTATGGTTAAATAATCATCATCATCATTGTGTATGTGGTTTACGTATTTTATTTTCTAACATTGTGCATGATCTCACGGACTGTGCATTAATATATGAAATATTGTGACGATCACTTCCACTACGATTACTACTACTAATACTACTTATAATACTAATAGTAGTAGTAGTAGTACAATTAATAAAGACTACGGGCGAGATATCATTCAAAGAATTATAATGACACATATTAATAATACATACATGCAACCACTATAACACACGCATACATACATACAGACAGACACACGTATACACATACACATACACGCACACACACGTTCATTCACTTTAATGGGGATACACACATATTATATATATGTATATATATACATATTTAATTGCTAATAATTATTATTCAACCAACCAACTTTTCAAAATGTCTATCTTCAAAATTCACTTTGTTCTCTATTTAATTCAATAAATTTTTTAAATAGAATAATCAGTGAAAAGAAAAAAAATTATAATTTAATCATTCACATCTATATTTACATATACATATATTATTGACACTTGGAAATTCAGGCAAAAACAAGCGGTTTAAAGAAGAATATATATTCAATTCGTCATTATTCAATATTCAATTCATTTGGCAACATTCTTCATTTTCTCTGTTGAATAATTGTGGATTATATAACCCATTTGGGATTCAATACTAATCAAGCAAAGTATTGTCTATGTATCATTGGTGTCGTTGATAATCATCAATCACTGACGCAATTTGTGTGTTTTTTATTATCTCTATATTAGTGATACGGGGGTTAGTAAAATTATGCAACAAGCTAGTCCTTTAGCATGGAATACATTTGATACGAGTAATGTTCACAACGGCATTGAATTACAACAACGACAAGAATATCAACAACAAAGACTGTTGAACAGTATTCAATCATTGTATAACCATAGTAATAATAATAATAATAATAATAATAATAATAATAATAATAATGCTATGGAATTGGATTCATTTCAATCAAATACATCAACTATGGATATTGACAATCATATGTCTGCATTACCGTTTAATCAATTCATCAGTAATATACCGAATTTATTGAATACTATCAGTAATAATAATAATAATAATAATTTGGAAAGAAATATCATGCCATCTTTAACTATGACATCGTTATCCACATCACCTTCAACGGTATACACATCGCCATCGTCAACAACAACATCGTCCTCTTCTACAATCAACACTGCAATTCCATCGATGTCAATGAATCCACACAGTACAGCCAGTAGTACAGCAGCAGCAGCGGCTGCTGTAGCTGCAGCCGCTGCATGGTATCCTTTAAGTTTAGCAATGGATGAAATGGCTCAAAGTTTAAGTGAGTAATTTTACTATTCTGTTTATTATATATGTATGTATGGATAGAGGATTTTTATTTGTAAATTGCTGAACTTTCAAGTCAGAGACTGACCTTATGAACACCATCACTAGTCACTAGTTAAGTCTTCGCAATATGAGACTGAAGTTGTTTGGTGTGATTTCTGATGAAGTAATGTATGTGTGTGTGTGTGCATTGGAAAGAAGTCCTACACTTAGACGATATATCTATCTATCCAATGCTATCTGGTTTTTAAAAGTTGTCTAATCATTTGTCAGTGAGACATAAACTTCTCGGTAGTTTTCGCATTTTGAATTAAAATTAACTAAGTCGCTTCATTTACACTGGTTGGAGTCCCTCTGGGCTACTGCCGGTCCTAAGCTTGAATTATAGGAGAACGGTTGGACGGTTGAAGTTGTCGACTCCTTTCTGTAGTAAACTCTCTCTCTCTCTCTCTCTATATATATATATATATATATATATATATATATATATATATATATATGTATATATATATAGTTTTAACTGTAACTTGTGTAGTGAACGAGAACACAGGTGAGGCAACCGAATTGTATTAAGCGAAAATTACAGAGTTACTCAGTAAGATTGGAAAACCATATCGTAAATCGTTAATCTGCAAACCTTCAATCCATCATCAATCCATTGTCTGACATTTCTCTATTCATGCGTTTCATACAAATTCCATTGTGTTTCCACTCTTCTTCCTTTCACTTGATCTTCCCCCATCTTGTGCTGCCATACATTGTTACGTTTACACTCACGTCATATACTACTTATATAAGTAGCTCATACCACACTTGGGTATCTGTTTTCTGTGATATATATATATATATATATATATATATATATATATATATATGCCTGAATCATTAGATATTGTCATTAAACAACTGTCTAATTGAAATAAACACGTTGTACATTGGAATTCGTGTGTCTTTTACATTATTTCAAATAATAATCAGGTATTATTATTTAAGTATTACTGATATTACTCATATTACAAAGTCAGAATTAAAATAAGCATGTACTTAATAATGATTGACACATTAATATTGTACAAATATTAAAATCTCTCTCACATGCAATTTTTTAAAACTTTTTTCACAAATCCAATAACAGTGTTGCTGTATGCACTAATCGAATGTAAAAGACTTGATCAAGCAACACAGGCTTATATTTATGTATAAATCATTTGCTTTTCCAAAAGAATAGTTATCTATGTAATAAGTTCACACATACACACACACAGAGAGATTTTTCGATGAGAATTTTTCTAAAATTTCACACAATTCTTTTTATCCCATGTGCTATTTAAATGTAATTCACATAGGCAGGCGTACAGTAAGTAGAATTTTTTTGCGAACACTCTTACATGCTTGTAAAAATTTTAATACACTTTGTGATGTTGATCAGGTTGAATATATAAAAGGTAGAAAACGAGTCAGAATGTTGGTAGAATTCATCACATTTTTGGGGGCATGATTATTGTGAAAACTAAGGAATAATGGACAGTCGTTGTTTTCTATATATTGAGAATAGTTATCAATCTGAACATATATGACTACTTTATATTGGGGCACAGTTTTGGAGGTTTGCGTTTTTACACATTTGAAATCATTAATCAATCATCATTGTTAGACCACCATTAGAAACCTGGAAGCACTGGACGGCCGTTTCGTCCTACAATGCCGAAGGTCCCGGGTTCGAATCCTGCGAGGAGCAGGAGTCGTGGATGCGCACTGCTGAGGAGTCCCATACTAGGACGAAACGGCCGTCCAGTGCTTCCAGGTTTCTAATGGTGGTCTAACAATGATGATTGATTAATGATTTCAAATATATGACTACACCGGGAGTTTCATTAAATGAGATCCCTGTATGAGATCATTGTGTAACAAATATATATATATATATATATATATATATATATATATATATATATATATATACATTAATATGAAACTCATACAGTAAGGAATAAAAGTTTCTGTCATAGTTGACAACATGCTTTAATTTTTTCTAGTAAGTATCAATACAAATTTGTATCAAACTAATCATATGATAACTTTATTCAATTAGTTAAACAATATTACTTACTTACTTACGCCTGTTACCCCCAATGGAGCATAGGCTGTCCACCATTTTTATCCAATCAACTCTGTCCTAGGCTTCCCCTTCCAGTTCTTTTCAGTTTTTGTTCATTCCTCTCATCTCTTTCTCTGTTTCACGGCGTAATGTGTTCTTTGGCCTTACTGTTTTCCTCTTGCCTTGAGGGTTCCATGTGAGGGCTTGTCTCGTGACGCAGTCAGGTGATTTTCGTAGTGTGTGCGTCCTATCCACTTCCACCACTTCTTCCTGATTTCCTCCTCCACTGGTATCTGGTTTGTTCTCTCCCACAGTTCGTTGTTGCTGATGGTGTCTAGCCAACGAATACAAAGTATTTTGCGAATACAACTAACTGTTGATAAACACTTGTATCTTCTGGATGATGCCTTTCGTAGTTCCCCAAGTTTCCGCTTCATACAGTAGTAGAACTGTCTTGACATTTGTATTGAAAATCCTGATTTTGGTTTTGGTTGAATGTTGTTTGGATTTGCAGATAATTTTCAACTGTAGAAATTCAGTTAAACATATTAGTTTAAACTAAATGTCAATTTCAGTAATTTAATAATTCCATTTTCAAAATGGTTTGAATTATTATCCTGTTACCGATATATTTTTAACTGAAATTTGATTGCTCCTATCTATCCAGCCGTTGTGATACAAATTCACATGAAATAAATAGAATATGACTAGCAATGGAATCGATGACTCTTGTTTGAAGTAAACAGTACCGGCCTTTCAAGTCTCACGGGGTGAATATCAATCCAATGAAAGACGAGTCCCAAAAAAGGATGCAAAACACGCATCCTTCCTTGCCTTCCCCCCCTACTGGTGGTCATTTTCTATTTATTCTAATATAAACTGATGAATTTCTTTTTTTGCCTTAATCCCATTTGATTAATATTGATTGATCAATCTATGTACGTAGGTAGGTAGGTTTCAATTGCATGTAGGGCGGATCAACTCACCACTATCACCAAACATGAAACGTATTGATTGATTGATTCATCAAAATGTTGTAAATCATCTCAATTTTAACAAGAAATCAATTCTGTTTTCGAATGAACTCAAATAATGCTTAACATGGTGGAGAAAACTTGTAGCTCTCTTAGGTGGAGGATGATTGTGATGGTGTTTCGTTCTCTGAGCTAACCAATCAAGATCGAGGTTAACAGAACAAGCCTACAGGTCAAATGTGGAGTAATATTCGAATGTTTCACTTCTGCTATCTGAAATTTGTGCTGATGATGATGTTGTTCAGACAGAAGAACAATGAAAGCTCTACAACTAAAACAACCAGCTCAGAGAACGAAACACCATCACAATGCTTAACATCTTTTTCGATTTATATATATATATATATATATATATATATTTACAATATAAAACTAATTTTAAGGTTTCACAATGAACAGTAATCCCTCTTTCTAGGTATAGTCAATATATGTTGACAATGAATTCGTACTAATGAAACTGTTTTATTGATTATTGTTCAAGAAATTTCTGTTTAAAATACCTCGATTTCAACAGAGTTAGACAGTGTTAAACAAAGAAAGCTATGCTGCACTAGTTGAATGAAGAAATAATTGTACCATGAAAGATAATAAAAGATTGTAGTAGAATTAGTAGTAGTAGTGTAGTGAACGAGAACACAGGTTAGGGCAATCGAATTGTATTTAACGAAAATTACAGTTACTCAGTAAAATAGGAAAACCATATCGTAAACGGTTAATTTTGCAAATCTTCAATCCATCATCAATCCATTGTCTGACATTTCACTCACTATTCATGCATTTCATACAAATTCCATTGTGTTTCCACTCTTCTTCCTTTCTTGATCTTCCCCCATCTTCTGCGGACAGACATTACGTTGACACTCACGTCATATACTACTTATATAAGTAGCTCACACCACAACAGTCCCATACTATAGCAAACAAACAACCAGTTTATCTTGTGTTTAATAAGACAATTAATTACATAATAAATGATTTGAACTATACACAGTTAAAAACCTTCAATACACAAATCAATTCATATTATTAATAAATAAATAAATATTAATTGCTGTCTGAAACTTTTATGTTGTTAGATAAAAATTTATTAGAACAGATGTTTCAATGTTAATTACTTACTAGTTTTGTACAAGTTGGATTGATGAATAATAAGAGCGTAAAAGGTGACTATGATGATAAAATGAAATGTAAAAAAGTGGTTGTTTGTTGTTTTTTCTATTCTGTTCTGTTCTATTCTGTAAAAAAACACTAGATTCTATGATTTCATTAAAACTTTATTAACTTAATTAGTTTATATTAGAAGACAAAAAAAAATATTGAGAAATTCTTGCTAACTGTAAAAACACTCTTATTAGGTTAGGCATTCGTGCGCACAATACCGACGGTACCGGGTTCAAATCCTGTGACGTGCAGGAGTTGTTGATGCATACTGCCACTGATGAGTCCCATACTAGGATGAAACAACCGTCCTTCAGTGCTTCCAGAATTCTCTAATGGTGGTCTAACCCAATGATTAGTTAATGCGTTTTTTATCATTAGGTATTTTTTTAAACTTTACATTTTTTTAAATTGTACTCCTACTACTACTGTGGTGTGAGCTACTTATAAGTAGTATATGACGTAAGTGTCAACGTAATGTCTGGCAGCAGAAGATGGGGGAAGATCAATAAACGAAGAGTTAGAAAACAATGGAATTTGTATGAAACGCATGAATAGTGAGTGAAATGTCAGACAACGGATTGATGATTGATTGAAGATTTGCAAATTAACGGTTGCGATATGGTTTTCCTATTTTACCAATTAACTCTGCAATTTGAGATAATAAATACAATTCGGTTGACCTCACCTGTGTTCTCGTTCACTACACTGTG